GGCGGCGGCCGGGACCATTCGGGGCGGGGTGTGTGGCCTTATGACACACTTCCGGTGATGTCAGGGGGTGTGGCCTTATGACACACTTCTGGTGATGTCAGGGGGTGTGGCATATGCTAATGAGTTATGCTAATGCGTTCCCCTAGCTCTTTTTCTATGAAATGACCCCTGGGTGAATGTGAATGATGGAACACAATTGTGTTTTGTTTTAACCCTTAATAAAAAGCGCCCACAATGTTCAAAGAGTTGTGCGTCTGATGTTACATTTCAAGGAGCTCTGGGTAGCACAAAAACAAATAGTTTTTGAAAGATCACAAAAGGTCACATGTGGCTCCTTAGTTCCATTTGTCCCCTCGTGTACCTGCATGGAATAATTTGTCACAGAGCTGAAGCACATAGAGCTTCTCCCCAGCGATTGTTCAGTCTCCTCCTGCTGTGGGCTTACATATTTCTAAGAGGAGGTGTAGCCATTAAGGCCTCTGGAATGGCCTCAGGCCCTAATGTTCTTTTGTTCATTTGGGATGGTTCCTTTGGTATGACCTATATAGAAATAGGTCAGGAAACGGCAATGCATTAGAATGATTTCTTATTCTTTGAAGGAGCATCCGGCCCTTGTAAAATGCTATTCACGAATCCGCTTTCAGGCATATTTCTGTCTAATGTACAAACTGTACCCATGTTTGTGCTCTCTCTCATGCCTTTAATGGCTCCCTTGTGCCCATTCAAGTTTAGGAGACTTTGTGAATGCTGTTGCCAGACTGCTGTCTTAGGTGAACTCCTGGGATTTTCCTGAGAGCTTTTTTATCCTTGGTAATGCCCACCCCCTCCCCAGTGTCTTCACAATAACATTTGCACTTTGAGGTAATTTAGTTTCAGGCATCTTTATCTGACACAAGGTCCAGATTGTACTCGGGATGGAATCAATAATCTGAGCAGGTCAAGTTGGGCGTGTTGTAAGTGACTGGGGGATTCAAGTTCACAGGAAACGATCCCTGAGGTTGGCCATTCAAAAATGGAGACTTTCGAAATAGGATCGGTGAATCGGGCTTGACAGGATTTTCATGAGTCCTAAACCTCAACGTTGCAATCCCTTCCTCGACTCAGGAAGATTTTTACCATGCAAAATAATGTTGTTCTATATAAAAAAAATAGTTTTATTCTATTTATTCTTTCAAGGCAGATCCTACCCCTGTCCGAACACTCCAGTGAGCAAAGTTTGAAGGCTTCCTCCTATTTAAGTGGCTTTCCGTTGCGGGAAGAGCTGTTTAAGACGGAAGAAGCCCCCTTAGGCTGGAGGAAAGCTCCTTGGAGGATTGTTGGATCCACCCCACTTTTATAGCCCCCCTTTCTTGCTGGGATTCAAGGCAGATTACAAAATTTAAAGAACAGTTTGCTCAGACAGCAAGGGCCTCCAATAAACAATGCAGTAGAACTCAAACAACAACAAAAATCATGTTCTGTGACAGACTGCTCAGACAATTGATCAGTTGGGCCTCTTCAGTAGCCCTGAGGTGGCAGTTGTTGGTCAAGAGGGTGGGGACTGCCTCAGCGGCAACCAGTAGAAACTGAATGGACAGCAGCTCTTGCCAGAGCGTTTTGTTTTCTCCCCCATGGGGCAAGATTGTGGTGGCAGTTCGGGTAGGGGAAGAACCATCTCCGCTGTTCTTTCAGCAACTCCCACACATCTAATGGTAAAAAACTAACCTGGGTATTCCTTGCCAATTGGAACAGATACCACATTCAGTCCTCTAACTTGGTTGGAGACTCAGGACCAATTCACATTATACAATCCTTATGCCCCCACCCCCATGTGCCTTGTCAATAGACCTGTTCTGCAGATTCCATTTTCAGACCCATGCTTATGTGGACCAGTAGCACATTGCAAGTTCCCCCAGAGGGCAATTAGCAGTCCCCTGGGGCCATTTTGGGTCAGGAATAGGGTGTGGGGAAGAATTAACCCCCTCTCACCATGCAACACTGTCCCAGCCCTAACTGCATCAAACATGCATGGGAATTTAAGTTCCAAGCACAGAAATCCCAACAAAGAAAGAATTCTAACTAATTCTTATATATGTTGGGGTTGTGAAAATTCTCCCTCTAAGGTGTGGAGTCTTGTGAGCAAAAATTCTACTTTGTGAGCTATTGGCATTAAGATTGTGAGCGAGCAATTTGGCTTCTGCATAAATTAGTTTGCTCTGGAGCCATCTGTCGTGAGCTAAGACAAAAATCTGTGAGCTGGAGGCTAAAAACCTGTGAGCTAGCTCACACTAACGCAGTTTAGAGGGAACACTGGTTGTGTATGCATGTGCACTATTGTAACACTCTCTTGACATATTGCTGTAGGTTTTCCTGCTGTTAGATGCCACCTAGAAATCATTTTAAACCAGCTTACACACACACGGTATGCACAATATAAGGGTATTCTTGAAACCCTAGGAAATTCTATCCGTGTAAATATATCCATCATAATTGTAGCATAGAGTATACAGAATCATTCATAGGAAATAAAAACAAGAATCCAGAAATCCAGGGTTTTTTGTCTTCCGTCTTACTTTAAGATAAAACATGGCTTTCAGTTCTGGAGGAGCAGTGTGTAGTATAGTTTCATATGTGTTATTGCCCGTATACCTTTTTAACCTGTCTGCTGATTTGTTGTTCCATACAAAATAAAATTTATTTATTTATTTTGCCAATCCACTGAATCTCAGAAGCAAAGTATGTGTGTGGTTCATAATGGGTGAAGTTTCTTTCCCCAGTGCCTCTCCCCCTTCTGATTTAGACCTTTTAAAAGATTTAAGGTTGGGGGTTTAAAGGGTTTTTAAAAGTAGAAATGATTGTAAAGAGAGTCTGCACATTTTCAAGCGTAGATAAGAAGCACATTTACATTCCTGTCACACTGTGTGCATGTAGCCATGTATCAGTGAGGTCCAGGCAAGATAGAAGAGGGAAGAGAGACGCTTTTAAAACTGAATGTGAACATTCTGGCCCATGTAGGTTTAAGTCTAGCATGATAGACTCAGGAACAGTGTTCCCTCTAAGCTGAGTTAGTGTGAGCTAGCTCACACTAACTCAGCTTAGAGGGAACATTGCCCAGGAAGTACAAAAAGTGCATTTAATGTTATATTTGAAAAAGTCAGTATATCCCCCCCCCTTGTAGATTGATTACTCCCCCTCCCTTGCTTTTAAACAGAAGATGCTTTCAGGGAAGAGTTAATAATTGTTTGCGGGTTGGGAAACAAAACCACAACACCCTTGGTAATGAACTGGATCCCTGTGCCCAACTACACAGGTGTCCTGTGTGGTTGCCATGAAAGAAAGCGTGCCAAACGGAAATACTTTCCTAACTGGTATCTGTGTTCTGCCGTTTATAGTTTTTCCTGGTACCGTACTGTGCTCTTACCATGTTTCTCAGCACTGAGCAGAAGGATCGGGATTCAGCAACAGCGTACCGTGAGTCTTAAAGAGGGGCTGCTTCTCTTAAACGCTCTTCATACCATG